TTGTTTTCTTTTAATCCTGCTCTGTTTTTTATTTACAAACTTACAATTACATACTATTCATTACAGAAATTACACATAACAAAAATAAACAAAACATACAAACAAAAAATCTTTACATAAATCAATCTCCCTCACTAGAGGCCAGGTCTTCTTCCTCAACCCCTTCGTTCAGGGGGGTCTGGACAACGTTGTCTTCGTCTATCTTTACACTGCTGAAATCCAAGTCTGGGAATAACTCTTCCGCTTTACATTTAAAGGTCTTCTAGCCGCTATCCTAGAACTCAGCCATCTCATGCTTGTAGAAGTCCGACCGCTGGAAGCTCTGGATCACTTTCCCTTCACTCCTACTTCCAGCGGTCGCTGTTGACGGCCCAGCCCCCCTATTCCCTTCTCTAGACAAGCTTTTGGCGACTGCAGCATAGATGGTTATTTGGAATTCGGCAGAGTCCTTGAACTGCTCCACCGCCGCCTTGCACAAATCGGGGTACGCCGCTTTCTCAGACGCCAGTCTAGCCTGTTCTTCTGCCAGCGCCTTCTCTAACTCAGCGATCCTCTAATCTGCTTCTTCATTTTCCTTGATCAACTGAGCGCATAGATCTTCATTATAGGTCATGGCCTCATCCCACCTTTCGTTGGCGGTGGAGTAGGCTTTCTGGGCCTCCTCAAGTTTCTTCTGCTCGCCAGCCAACTGGAACTCAAGTGATATCACCTTACGGCGTTCCGTTTCCAACTTTAACTTCGTCGCGAGAAGCTCAGCGTTAGCACGCTCTGCTGATTAGCCCTGCACCAACGCCAACACTTCCATCTTCTTGGCTTTCTAGGCATACTCCAGCCCCCTAGCACACGCACTCCGCGCGGTCTTCCTTCAGCCCCCAGTCTCCATCCTTAAACTGTCCAGTTGGGCTTTCACTTCTTCCATCTTTTTCTTCAGTGGCTCTACTTCGCTTTTTGCACGCCCCGCTTTGCTCAACAAGGTTCCTGCTAAGGTCGTCGCCTCCATCTAGGCCAAGCAAAGCCCCCTTAGCAGTTCGGCCTCTGAAAAACTTGCCATCGAGCGCACGGCCGCGTACTCCACTACTCCCAAGAGCCGGTCTGCAGCAGTCCTGGCCTTACCTCCTTCTCCCATCAATCGTCCAGACACTGCTCGCACGTGATAGATGACGTTTTCAACCTGGCCTCCCCTCTTTCTCATTGAGGCACAGGACCCCCCTCGGGCGGTTGCTCCGTCCCCTGCTCAGGCCTAGTTGCCCCACTTTCCATTTGTGTTCCAAGGCCCATAGCACTCTCTACCCCCTCCATTGTCCCCTCCAACTCCACCTTGGGGGTCACTTCTGCCATTTCCTTATTCATCCTCTTCAACGCTGGCCCCTCATTTTTCTCTACTCTCTTTTTCTTTTTCTTTAGCACATCCTCCATCTCCTTTTGCTTTTTCTTTCAGTGGATCCACTGGAGGTGGTAATGGCCCAAAACCACCCAGGTCCTTATCTTCTAGTGGCTTGGGGAGCGGTCAGACTTGCTCCCTCACGACTGGTTTAGGCGGACGGCCTAACTTCGACTCTTTGTATTGATCAGCCTTGGCGAAGGTCGTTCTATCCTCTGCCTCTTGCATCTTCCTCCTCGCCTCCAATTCCGCCTTTGCAAGGTCCCCGCTGGTCGGCTGAGGCCCCAACCTTGAGACAAACAAGGTTGAGGGCTAAACAGGGTCGTCCCACTTGGCGCCCTCATTCTCCCTCCACGCCTTCACCTTTTTCACCATCTCTTCTGCCTCCGCCTACAACCTTGGCTCCATTGACTTGGTTGGCACCTTCCATACCGTGCGCACTCCCATTCCCCCGTTTGCTGACACGTAAAACTACCGTGGCCTCTACCCCTTCACTGACGATGGCAACCTCGCCCATTTCCTGCCGCCGCCTGTAAAGTGACCCAAGTTTCTTTCTGGCCCGAAGCCTTGTAGCATGCAAAAAACTCATCCACCGTCATTGTAGCTCCCTCGTTCGCCCACGGCCACACACTTGCGCAGGCCAATAAAATTTTCCACGCATTGGGCATTAGTTGACCCGGAGCCACCTCCAGTCGATTTAGCACGTCCACTATTATCCGTGGGAGCGACAACCTCAACCCCCCCTTTAACGCCTCTTCGTAGAGGGCAAACTCCCCCGGTTGGGCATCGGATGGCCTCTCTTTTGACGTCGGCAATTTTAACTCTATCTCTGCCGGAATCTAATATTTCTCGTACATCTCCTCCAACTCCTCCACTGTAAATGTCGATTTGTCGGCCTTCGTGTACCAGTGGCCCGACCCTACTTGACTGATTGGCTTCACAGCCGCTATCAGCGTGGACGAGCGGGGTCGCCCCGCAGGCTCCCCCTCACTCCCTACCCACTTTTCTGCCTTGTATTGCTCCGTTAACTCCACCGCGTCGTCGTGCCCCAACGAATCTAGTCCCATGGTTGGCACATCATCTCGAGCCATCTCTCCTGTATGCCTGCGTATAGCTTCAGATGCTAGTACAAAGTAGTTCGCAAAGTGTCGCAAAGGTGTATCACTCGACACAAATGAGTTTACTTCTGGGACGTTTTGGTTTTTTGCAATAAGATAGGTAAAGCGGATAATCCCAAACGCCCAAGGCTTGCCTATATTCCAAGGGTCAAGATTAAATTTTGCCAGTTCAAAAATTTTCAAAAAAATTTCCAAAACCGCCTTTTCAACGCCCTATATTCACCTATACCTTCGTTTCTTGCCCAACGCCGAACCTCCCCCATTACGGGATTCTGCCACGTGTACGACCACGATCCACTACCCCCTTCCCCTACTCTGTCTTTTCTACTTCACGCCGCCACGTTCCCTGCCACTCCTCGAGCCCCGTGCATCGTCACTTCTCCTTCTCACTCGGTCACCCTTTGCGGTCGGCCCTCTTCGCAGTCGGCCTTCTCGCCCAGTCACCCTTCGTGGTCGGCCCTCTTCGCAGTCGGCCTTTTTGCTCGGTCATCTTTTGCGGTCGACCCTCTTCGCAGTCAGCCTTCTCGTCCGGTCACCCTTCGCGATCGGCCCTCTTCACAGTTGGCCTTTTCGTTCGGTCCTCCTTCGCGGTCGGCCCTCTCGCCCGGTCACCCTTCGTAGTCAACCTTTTCGTTCGGTCCTCCTTTGCGGTCGGCCCTCTTTGCAGTCGGCCTTTTCACTCGGTCACCCTTCGCGGTCTCTTCGTCGACCTCTCACAACTCCTGTTTTCTTCCTTATTCCCTTTGCTAGACTAAAGTTGCACTCGGGAATTGGGGACTACTGACATTGGTGGGCCTATAGGAGCGTTTGACCCACCACTCAGAGCCCAATACACAATTCAAACACTAAAGCCCAACTTTGCTAAAGCTCAACATGGCATTGAGGACCAATGACATCCAGACACCTGTCAAGAATAGAACCAACCATATCAGCAGACAAAGATCCTGCAGAGTTATTGCACCACACATCAGCCATTAATGAGTTCCCTAGAACATTTATTGCGATAACCTCTTCATGACGAAACAGAACAACCTCACCACGAACAAGACAAGTTAGAACATAGACTTTCGGCTAGCGCGATGGCACGGAGTGGACAAGGAAATGATGAATAAAGGATGGGCCCTGCTGGAGACCCCCAGCAGGGGAGACCCCCAGCACTCCCACCTCCACCTGGGGGGCTGGTAATGGTTGGAAATAAAAAAATAAAAAAATATAAAAAAAAACAGTTTTTTGGGCCAATAGGAAGAGACCCCCAGTACCCCCACTGGGGGTCTCATGCATTTTCCATAAAGGATATAAGTAGGCTTCTAAGACAGAAAGAAGGTTAAGCTTCCTAACATCAGTCTATCCCCATTTCCCATTACTTACTCTCTCTTCTCTAACTTGTTCGTTAGAGGGTTCGCTGGGGGACTCCCCGTTCCCCGTCGAACTCCTTTGCAGGTTTCTCGGTGGGCCCAACAATCAGATAACGACTTGACAAGCATGGACCAGTCTGACTCGCTCCATCGGTGGCTAGCAGCATTATCATTATTAATACAAAGGTTTATAAGGTAAATTTTAATATACACTATTTTTAAAAAGATACACCATATATCCTAATTATACTATTTTATTCTTTAGTTATTACTAACTTTTTTATTTAGTTATTATATTATTTTAGTCATGACTTATGAGTCATTTAGTTATGTCTCATGTTATATTTAGTTATGACATTTTTTTAGTTTTGACTCAAAAAATTAAAATTATGTGATTTTATTTAATTATTTTTTTAAGTTATAAGCTGTAAGGCTGTTCAAAAATCCGTTTAAATCGGTAATCTGGACCGAACCAGACCAAATTGTACGGTTTGGTTCGGTTTTATTAAGAATTGGTTCGATTTCGGTTTAAGAAATATGAGAATTGTAAAAACGGTTCGGTTAATGAATTTTATGAAAAACCACGATTCGAACCGAACCGAACCGAATCGAATTTTAAAAGATATATATATATAATATCAAGTTTTATTTTTATTAATTGATTTTTTATAATTTTAATGATATTAGGATGATATAGATATGTAATGTTGAGTAATGCCTTAATATTATTAGTTTTTATCATGAGTTAAATATAATTAGGTTGAGTAATTATTTTGCTAATATTAACAATTTGTTTTTGTAAATAGAAATTTTTGGAATTGTAAACCAAATCGAAACCGAATCGTTATTTCAATCTGATTCTGATTCGATTTTACAAATATAATAGTCTGATCTGGTTCTCAAAATTACAAAACTGTTAAAATAAATTCGATTGTTGAATTTTCTCAGAACCATACCAATCCGGATCGTATACCCCCCTAATAAGCTGCATATACTGTGCATATTAGCCCACCTATAAAGCATATTGCTATTTCCAAGGCAGATCTAAGTTTCACCAAAAAAGAATGGTTGATTCCTAGCAATACACGATTGTACAAGGTCACATAAATAGCCATAAAATGGAGTGGCAATAGAACTACCTCTTTATTCTGCAAAGTTTCCTTTATTCTTACGCTTCACACAGTTCGAACTCTCAATACGATGAAACAATCCCTCAAACCAAGCTCTGATTATACATACATACATATATATTAGGGTTTTCAATCTATATATCTCTCACCATATTGTCTCACTCAATCATACTCCAAAACCCTTTTTAAATTTTCAACAATTTCGATTATCGAGCTCTAGGGTTTAAGTTTGGATCCCCCGAATTTCTTCACTCGAAATACATGGTAAGCAACACAACTATATATATATATACGTGGATTATATTGTTTGCGAGGTTTCAATATAAAGTTTGTTAATTGTATTTGATTTTTCATAATTTCTGCAAAATTTAACCCCCCCCCCCCCTTTTTTTCCTTGCTTGATTACTATTGCTGTAGCTACATACATAATTTGTGGATATTTAGACTAAAGTGGGAATTTTGGGAGAAATAAGAAATGGAGGTTCTCTCTCTCTCTCTCTCTCTCTCTCTAATATATATGTGTGTGTGTATTTATTAAATTGTCTGTATGTATGTCTATGGCTATCAAAGTTGCCTTTTACTATCTGTGTGTGCGCGTCAGGGGTGGACCAGAGAATTTTTTTTTGGGGATTAAATTTCATGAGGAAAAATTTCACTTAAAAAATTGAGTTTTGTTAGGTACTAAAAGGCCTTAATTGGGTTTGTCTGGTTGAAGATGTGTTGAAAGTTTGCCATTGATGCTTGTAATTTGCACAATTTTAACTCTGTTTCCTTACTAATGTGAGTTGTGATTATTTATTTGTTTATTCATATTAAACTACAAATAAGTGGAGTGGAAAAAACATGTTGCACATGATTGGGTTGCTATTCTTTGTGAAAGACCAATCATATGAAACAATTGAATTTTGAAGAACACTTAAAAATAACTTTCATGCAACAAAAATGTAAGTGATCCTAGAACGACTGTAGTTTTGTTTTTGTAAAATTTTCAACTCCTATGTATAGTGCGGTCTTCAAAGATTTCAGGCTACTATGGGATAATGTAAATTTCTTATGAGGACTATTGTATTAATTTGTTTGAAAACTGGATAAACAACAAAGCAAGACTGAGTGGATTTTGAAACCCGGAGGGGCCATGGCTACCCTTGGCTAGGTCTGCTCCTGCGTGTATGCACACTTGCAAGCGCATGCATTTTGAGTGAACAGGTTGTGTATCATGAATAACATTTTTGTCTACCATGGAGTTTGGTCTAGAGGATGAACAATGTCTTCAATTGTGGTTTGATATTATGCTGGATTAGTCATGTGATAGACGGATATTTGAAGGTTTAAAGTAATCGATGGCTTGGATGGGAACAGGGGTTTGGTGATGTTAGGGGGTAGTTTTTGGAAAGTGCTGTTTCTGATGTTGTAGTCATGTCTGCAGTCTACTCAACCGTGACTTTCTTAATCAGACATGTTCGTGGCTTAAGAATTCATTATCTATACTTATTATATGATAAAGGCAGCAGCAGCTAATTTGGTGTCCAAAAAGCTCAATGATTTTTCTGCTTCCTAAATTAACCTGAACTTCTAATAAAATCATTCCACATATTACTTAATGTCAGTAAATATTTATGGGTTATAGGGTAAATTAAAACTTTAATATAGCCAACTAATATTAAACCACTTGCCTCATGGCTCATGCCGATCTCTTTTCCAATTTCATGCTCCAAGAGTTTTGTGCAGTTACAAACTACTTCCATTGTCTTCTCTGCATTTTGCTGCAAAACATCACCTCAACCAATTGTATATACCCAGACAGTTTACTATACAATCCAACAGTTGTAAGCGTTGGAGGAGTGGTTATTATCAGTACCCGATCTTTCGCTTCTCCCGGACTGTAAGTGTTGTGAGAGTGTTGGGTTTCTGTCATATTTTCTTTGTTTTTAAAATTTTGTCCTTGTCCTTTCTTTAATGCTTAAATGCCTTGGCATATAATACTTTACAGTGAAAGCACATATTCCTTTTGTTTGTTTTTGTTTAATGCACCATCTGAAGCTTATGCAAGATTGTTGTTACTGCTGCCTATTTGGTGGGTTAATGTGGTGGTGCATTATTCATATTAAAGAAATACCATGTTCTCCTAGAAAATGGGATTGTACAGTGTTTCTTAAGAAAAGTAAACCACATTAGTAATAAACATCAAGTTTTAAAACCAAAACCAAATAATATGGAGTGCACACATAGTGTGTGCCAATCATTTTAGTTATCTTTATTTCATTCACCAAGGGTCATCCTAGTGGCTTAGGCCACATTTCCTAATAAAGAGACTCGTGTTCGAGTCTCCTTAACTCACCTGTCAAATATATATAGATCATTATTTTTTCCCACTTTATCTTTCCTCTGCAAAGTTCTGTATTACATTCCTAGCATTAATTGAAGAAGTTTAGAAGTTAAGCTCAGTTTATTGTGAAATGCGAGGAGGTCAATTTGATTTTAGACGAAGCTGGTAAGAGGGGAACAAAAACACTTCAGAAAATTCATTTAGGTGGGATAAGAAAAAAAAAGTTGGCTGCCTATGATTTAACAAACATTATAGATTTTGCGTATGTTGGACGAGGGAAGAAGACTTCATTCTGCCTATGTCAAGTATTTTGGACTACAAGCCCCTCAAATGTTTGGTTTAAGCATTGCAGTAATTATTGATTGTATTAATGCGTGCATGTTCATTTTTTTTTAAAATTCTCTCCAATCTCCACATATAGAAATATTACCACACAAATTTCCTTTTATACTTGAAGATGAAAGCTGACGATTTTTATTTTATGTTTTGTTTCAGTGGCTCTTTGGACTCTTAAGTTGACTAATGTTGTTGTGCTGGCAAGGTTCTTTGAAGTAAAAGTTTGATTGATTTATTATTTAAGTTTGGCTGTTTGAGATGTATGGTCAGGGTAATTTTTCTCCTCAGTTTGGGCAGGGTTCCCATACACCCATGCCTCCATTCCAGCAGCGCCCTGTGGTTCCTCCACCTCCTCCTTTCCAAAAGGGCCATCCAACCTTACAACATTCTACAATACAACAAGGTCCTCCATCTATTCCACCTTGTGCAGGTTATTCTGGCTCCTTCGTATATCGGCATGCCCCACCTCCCACAGTTCAGCAAGGTCAGCCTGTTCATGGCCCAACAAGTGAAATGTTGAATGCAGGTCAATCCTACTTGCCGCCACCCCCTCCCCCACAACCTCCACCACCCACCCCCACCCCAACAAATCTATGGAAAAACCTCTATGACACATTCCTATCCAATTGCTCAGCAGAACTCCCAATGGACCCAAAATATGCATCATGTTCCGCCACCTGTCCCTCCTCCTCTTGTTCCACGTCCCACAGGTCCAAGTCCCCCAGAAATGTTCCTGCCGTCAATATCTCCTAGAGAAATACCTACACTTACTTCACTGGGACAAACTTCATATAGAGGCCCAATTCATCTCCCACAGCCTGGTAACGTGCAGGGTACTCAACAAATCCCACTGCCACTTCCACCTCCCCCACCCACTTCTAGTTTCTTTACTCCTGCTCCATTTGGATCTTTTGTGCATTCAGCACATCAAGATTCTAATGTGCTAGCGATGGGTCCCATGCCTCCACCCCCTCCACCCTCTTCTCCTCCACCCCCTCCACCTTCTCCACCGCCGCCTACCTCTCCCCATCCTTCTTTTGGATCCCTGTCTTCTACACCTCCCTTTGTTGCTTCTGACTTGTCTCACAATTCCAAGTTGGGTCCCATGTCCAATCGTTCTGGCTTTGAAGTGATGGCTTCTAATTCTGTTGATGAAGTTGTGGCTATCACCCAAATCAGAGATGATGCACCTTTGTGTAATGACTATAAAAATTTTGAAGGCAGGACAATCTGTGAGATGGGTTCCCCTTTGGAAGTTACGAATTTGGATCTTCCTCCACCTCCACTCAAGCCAGCAGAACAGAAAGTTGTGCAAAGAATTGAAGTTCTATGCAATTTTATTGCAAATAATGGTCCTGGTTTCGAAGACACGTCTCGTCAGTCAGAAAGAGTCGGGGAATCCTGAGTTTGAATTTTTGTTTGGTGGTGAGCCAGGAAGTGAAGCTGCAGTTGCACATGAATATTTTGAATGGATGAAAAAGAAATGTATTTTGGCTTGTAAATTGCAGCACAAACATAGTAATTCAGTCTTAAGGCCTTCTGACATGGATACTTCAAAACAAACCAATTGTTTAATGGGTGCAGGTGTACCTCATTCACCTTCTGATTCTGACATGGATATGGAAGGTTAGTGTAACTGGTGTTGTGGGATTGCTTTCTGTTTCTCTCTCTTTAGTTGATTGATGACTACCAACATGTTTATATCTCTAGATCTCTTCTTATTGTGTGGTGTTCCTTGAAGCTGTGACAGCCCTTGCTTGTCCTCTACTCGTTTTATATGTACATATTTTTTGGAGAAGTTTGAAATTTTGAGTTCTTTGATTGATTGCATGGTTTGAATGAAGTTGAGTGCATCATGTTTGATGTTAGCTGTTTCACGCATTAGCTGCTGTTACATGTCTAATCTGCAATAAGTATTCCATTATCTTGGGTTAAATGTGTAGACAGTATTAATAAGACTGAAATTTCTGTTTTAAATTTTGGAAAGCATTTCTTGTGATTTTTATTATATTTTGTTGGCTGTCTGTATTATGTTTTATATTCATTGTTCAGTGGTGATGTTTCATATTCTGAAACCATTTGGTTTTCTTCTCATACATTTTAATGAATAATTTTTTTTTGTACTTTGCACATCCTTTGTTTAGGGTTGAAAATGAACATAGTCTTTCGTGAACAAGCTTGAGCTTGGCTCAGTAAGGGCTCGTTCGAACTCGGTTTGTTAATTTTTTTTTTGCGTTTGGTTCGAGCTAATAAACAAGCCCAAACATACTAAAACTCGGCTCGATAGCTGGGGTTGTATAACATTTATTATTTATATATTAAATAATATAAAAATATGTATAAAAAATAATATAAATATATTATTTATATGTTTAAAAAATATAAATATAAATAATAGCTAACTATAGATAATATATTTATATAATAGTGGTGGTAGATATTATTATTTTGGTAAAATATTGACTTTTCTTTTAGTCTGTTTATATATATTGTATAATCAAAGTTTCAATTGTAACTTTAGGCTCGTACGCAAGTATGAATTTATAAATTTTTTGACTCGTTAAGGCTCGTGAACAAGCTCAAGCTCGAGTCGAGTAAGCCAACTGGGCTCGCTCTCGGTTCGTTGAATTTTATTGAGCTCAAGTTCGAACTCGTTAAAATCTTAATAAACAAGCCTAAATATACTAAAGCTTGCCTTGTTTGCAGCCCTACCTTTGTTGTGGTCTTTTCTCAAATTTTGGTTACCTTTAGCATTCAAGAAGAAATGCAATTGAACTAAACATATTGCGTGAGTCTTACATAAAAGAGTAGATAACAAAATGCTCGTTGATTGCATTAGTTGACCTGCATTTTTGGGATGAATGAAGTAGAGTACTGATGACAAGGTTTTTGTTTTTGTTTTTTTCAATATTACTTTTGTGTCATTTATTAAAAATTTATCTTGTAATGTTCCCATTTTGTGCAGCTTATGAGTGGTTATTATGTGAGTGCTTGGTGCCCCTCCCGCTTATAGCTTATGAGAAAAATGAGTTGAAGAAGTTGATTATTAAGAAGCTAGGGGAAGGATGCTTTTGGATTATGCGTTTAAATTATTGCTTTTAGCTTGCACTAATCTTCACCAAACCATGTCAATGTGCTCGTCATTTTGTTGGTTGTAGTTGGATCTTCTTTATTTTCATAAATAATGTAACTTTATTAAATATTCATGGATGCCGAAAGAGTGGTGTGCATACTAAAAAAAAGTGTTTGGTAAAAAAAATGAATCCAAAATGTCTAACTAAGAAGCACAAACATAGACACAGGACATTACATGGATATAATATGTATGGACACATCGACAACGACAATCTTTAAGTATATAGGATATGATAAGTGGGGGATATGCACAAAATATGTTGTTTTTATAATTTATAATGTCACATATATGTAATTTCATTCAAAGAGAATAAAAAGTTCAAACATATCACTAATCCCTAAAGTTTAAAGGATGAGAGACTAACATGTATGAATCTGTATTGTTTTTCTTTTATTCAAATAAATGTATTCTACATTAGTATTTGAGGCCACCTCAATTTTTCAATTACACTTGGCTATTTTATAAAAAAGTAGTTCTTGGTTTGTGAATTCCCTTGCATGTCTTTTTGATTTTTGATAATTGTTGTGCCACTTTTGATGATGTTTCAGTTAAAATTTGTGTAGGAGAGGAGCAAACAAAATGACAAATCTATTAACTTGTCTTGCATTACTCTTAAATGAGTTATGAGTAATCTGTGTACAGTTGGAATGCTGAAGCTTTCTCTTCTCTTTGTTTTTGTGTGGGTGGTCTTTAGATGATATCACCCAGCCTGATGAAGAGCAGCGAGTTTATAACTCATTTGAACGTCTAAATCATGAGTCTGTTTTGATACCTAAAGAGCTTGATATTCGAGAGCAATTAAGTGCACCACATAATTCTGTTGAACATTGTCTTGCCAAGGATGCTCTATCTCGGTCCTCAGGACTGGCTGAACAAGAAAAAGGTATCTGAGCATTTCTATTCTCTTTCTTTAATTCTTTTTATGAGTTAGATAGTTGATGACTGTTTAGATTTTTAATTCACTTGTGCTTATGATGTGTTTCTTTTTCATGCATACAAATTGTTTGCTCTGTAATTGTCAAATGCACATGCCGCTTACTGGTATAACTGTCAAATAAAAAAGGTCATATGTAGTGTGCAAGGAGTGACTTGACCACATCACAAGAGGATGAATAATGATGGATAACACTTGCCATCATGCTACACATTGTTATATGGACTCTTCTAAATGTGTGATTGTGAAGTTGGACACTCAAAACTTGAGTAAGGATAGGATATATGTGTTCAATTTGTCTAGGTGTATATTTATCTTACAATATGTCTACTAATTCGGATTTATAATATAAGTAGGGATGAAACTCCCATATAATGTATGAAAAACACATGGGCTGAGAATAATTTTACCTTGGCCCCGCTTTGTAAAATTTCTGGGTTTACCATTGTTTGTAAATATCATTTTATCCTGAAAGATTATTGAAGAATATTAAGAAATATTGGTTTTGTTTGGTTGAGTATTCAGAGTCTGTTTCTGAAAATTTTTCAAAAAAATTACAAGCTAGTTTGACAAAAATAAATACTAACAAATTTATTTTTGTATTTTCTAAAATTATTTTTGCCCCCAAAAAAAGAAAAAAAAAGTAGAAAACTATATGAAAATAATGGGTTTTTTATTTTTTCATTTTTTTTACCAAACCAGTTTTTAAAGTTCTTTCAGAAATGGATTCTGAAAACAAAACCAATTTTTTTTCCTCCCCATGTTCTGCATCCTTAGGTTTGGGAATTAGATATCCAAATCTATGTAACACAGGTGCCAGGTCACACCTCATAATTATCAAATGTATATGCCAATTACTGGTATCCTAGGAGGCAGGGGCACTGGATATGCTTTAATTCTGTCTATCTATAAATCTTCCTTGAGCCCTTAGATTGTATTTATTGATCATCAGAAGATTTCAAATTCGTTAGGTATGTTCAATGTGTCTTACCTCGCTTAAACTCTGTTTTACTAGGAAGATAAGAAGATGTGTATTGTTGCTAAGCCTCTATTGGTTGTCCTGGTTTTGTCCAAAAAATTGATTGACACTCTTTTTCTTTACCTAATTTAATCTCCGGTTTTTTTCCCAGGAGATTGGAGTGGGTGTTGGTGTAGAAATGTGTACTTTTATTCCTTGAATGTTCCTTTGAGATAAAATATGGCTTTTATGACTTTGAAATTTGAAGAAAGTGGGGAAGTTCCAATGCTATGTGTGGAGTTATTGATTAGTAGTCAAATTTGATATTTTCTATGACCAAAGCGCAAAGATGACTTATAATTGCAGCACTTGGGACTAGTGGCATGTTCTTATGTTTTCCAAATCCCAAGGATAAGAGGACCTAATAGATGTAGGCTTACGTAATGAGAAAAGACATGAAATAATATGTATTACTTTAAACTATGTCCTAAACAGAATGGACTTGCTTCTGGGATTCATCTTAGTGCCACAAATAATTAGGACAACGTTTCATTGCATTGAGTTGTACTATTATTGTCTATTGAGACAACTGACTTGTTATCTCAGTGTTCTCCTCACAGCTCATGGTCTGTTATACCCCACATTTCTACCTATAAGTGAAGTAAATATTCTTGTTGTCTAAAGTCACTTTTTGTGGCGCTTAGTGTTTAGTGTGTACATTATTGATTTTTTTGCAACACTTTTCACATACTGTCCCAAGGTAAAGACCAGGAGAACCGGAAACCCTAACGGGAAACCTTTCACCGCACTACATGATTCTTTATGAAGCAGGGTCCTTTGTGTTGTTTTGTCAAGGTTGTAAGTATTTTGAGTCTCTTTTTAATTGGTTTAGTTCAAGGACCAAGATTGATTGTTAACAGTGTTAGTTTCTTATGAATTCTATTTATATATTTATGAGATTTAACAAAGAGGAGTGACAATTTACTGTGGATTTGAGTTCTTTCCAAACTCTGAGGAGGAGATGTGATGCTTTGTTCCTAAAAATTTATTGCTCTTTTTCCTTTTTAAAGCTTTTGATACTTTTGACTTTGTTTTTCCAGTACTTTTAGCTGCTACGATTAGGTTTGTATATCATGATATTTTTCCACTTGAACTGATTTTTGTACTCAAAGCCCACTGGTAGAAACCTTAAAGCTTGATATTCTTTGGAAATCTTTCATCCAAATGTCAGGACCAAGTCCCCCATCAAGAAATGTGAGGTAGTACTAATGATGTCTGTGATTTGTCCAAGCTGGTAGCTTTGGAGATCAAGGTCAGGTATAAACATATATTAGATTGTATGTGGCTCATTGTCCACAGCTTTAGTTACATTACCAGTTTACTGAAGCTATTTAAGTTATGGATCTGGACTGTGCAAAGTCATTCACATACATGAGAGCATGAAGTTTGCACTATGAGCTACCAGTTCAGATGGACATAGAAGATCCTGCTTATTCTACATTTGTTTCAGAAATATCTTGTTCCAGAATTTATCCTCTAATTTTTATTCTTTTCTGGCCTCTGCAGCTTTTGATATGATTACCTGTTTCTGTGTCAATAAAGTTACTGACAGTTATGAGTAGTTTTTCACTTGTTTACACAAGGACATTTTAGTGTATTTCTTAAAGCGAGGGCAACTTTGTGCGTCTTTCTGTAAATCCTTTTTTTGTTCACTTAAATTATGGATTTAAACTTTTCACTAGTGCGTCTTGAATTCTTGATTCCGAATGTTCTCTTAATTATGCATTTCACTTCTTTTATATTCACAATGTTGGAATGCTTGTAAATGTGTCTCATATTTGATGAGTTTGAAATGTCTTTGTTTTTACATGTATCTACAGGGTCCAAACTCTTTCGTGATCATGATCACTTTACCTATGGAAGGTCAGTTTTCAAAGTTGATAGCTCAGTCACGGTTTCGTCTGTTCCTGCCCCAGAGGATTTAAGTCAGTCCAATGCATCGACAGCTGCAGTAGGCTTTGGTTCTGAGAAATTTCCTAGTGAACTCATCAAAGGTGCTAGCCCTTTCAGACTTCTACAAGACTACGCTTCTGATGATAGTTCAGAAGATGATGTCAAGCCTTGTCTTGAAGAGGTCGGCCCTGTTACAGCCTCGATATCAACTACAGCAGGTGCTACAAGTTTGAACGGAGAGATATTATCTAATTTACAGATGGATCAAGGATTAATGAGTGTCTCAAGTTCTGAGATGGCATTTGGAACATTTTCCAAGTCTGTTGTGGCATGTTCTCCGAGCATGTCACCAAATGCTTTGAAATTTTCCACAGAGTCACAAAGGACTGCCAGGGAAGCAGATGTAACATCCATTGCAACTGTTAAAACTGAAGAACTTGTTGAAAATAACAGTAGAAATCAAGAATCTATTGACAATGCTGTTTCTCCCGAGGTTTTGCAACTGAAAGATACCATTGATGGTGTTCTTGATGCTGCTCCTGATAGTGGCAAGTCTCATTCTCAGAAGGAAGATTTTAAATATGCTTCTACTCTCCCAAAAGTGGACGAATTTGGGAGATTAGTCAGGGAAGGTGCTAGTGACAGTGACTCTGAGGACCCACACTATACTAGAAGGCGTGGTAAGAGAGGAAGAAGTTGGAGCCGAAGCCAATCTCCTCATGATAGGAGGAGGAGGAGGAGAAGTCCCCGGAGAGGAAAGGAGAAGCGAAGCCGGTCTCGCAGGTTTGCAATTTATTCAGTTTGTCATTTATGTTTAAGGCCAAGTATTTATTGATTTCTCTTATCTGATAATTCATAATGGATGGTTTTAGTAGCTTTAGATGGTGAACTCTTGACCTGCTTTTATATGGATTACCTGGAGTATGATTTTTGGAAATTGTAAAATTCTTGGTGATGTTTCAGCTTGTCTCCCAAGAAACGAAGAAGCAGGAGCAGGTCTCCCTCTTATGGCCATGGGGGTGAATTTGTTGGTCACAAAATGAGATGGGACAAGGATCAGCTTCCAGAGTGCTTAGACTTTCTTCGTGGCAGGTGCCACCGTGGAGCATTCTGTCGGTATTTTCACCCCGACTCCAATAAGAACAATAGTGGAAGCCGCAACAGGAGCAAACAGCAGTATGTGGAAGTTCCAACTGTTTCAAGGACTTCTGATTTCCATGAAGAGATTGATAAAACCCCTCCGAAAAGATCAGTTCACCAGAAGGATATGCCTGGAGACAGCGTGGGTGTGTTGAGGGATGGGAAGTTGGACAGGGAACAAGTATTAGTTTCTGTGCAGGATGCTGTGCAAACTATAATTTCTGATCGAGATGATAAATCATTGATTACTGATGTTGTTCTCTCTGAGAGGTCTATAGAGGTAACTGCAATCATGCAGCAGACTCAAATTATTAAAGAAGAGATATTGGAATCCTCCACCGTGCTTCCTGATAATCAAAATTGTCTGGAAATAATGGGGACTGTTCACCCCGTTGTTGGTTCTCCCTCTCGTCTAACTGATGCTGATGCCCCAAAGTCACCTGGTGATACTACTTGTGGCGTAGCTTCTTCAATTGAAAATTTGGTGATGCCACAATCTCAAGCTAATCCCTCTCTTCCAGTTCTTCATAATGCTGATCACCGACCTCAGCATGTGGATGGCTCTTCTACATCTGATTCTTCACCCCTTCAGATGTCATCAACCTTACAACGTCAGCTTCCTGTTAGCGAACCTCATCTAAATAAGATCTCTTCAGTTCAGTCATATCCTGGTACGAGTTCTATTAGCCAATCATTTTTGTTTTCATCTCTATCTGGGCCTCCTAAGGATTTGACTCCATCCTCTGTTAGAGCTGTGGATTTTCTAGATCATTCCTCACTTTCACAAGGCAAAAGTACCTCTCCACCACAGCTGCCTGGGGAAATGATGCAACAAACTTCAAAATTTCCTTCTTTTTCTCCTCCTGTGGAAAACTACCCTCCCTCTCAAACTCCAATGCAAAACCAGCATTCTGATTTTGTCACACCACCAAACTCTTGGTCCCTGCCACCGCCACCACCATTGCTGCCATTTGTTAACAATTCAACTGTAACTGCAGCAACTGCCATGCAAGGTGTTCCTTCATTACAATCTCACCAGAATCAGCTGCCTCCAAGGAATGACTTCATTTCGCAGACTTTTGTGAGGCACTACCCGCCTGAATTACCTGCTCATTCTCAGGTTGGTGAGTTTCAGCATCGCAGATACTCTCTAATGCAGGAGCAGGAGCCTACTCGACCTTTATCGCATATGGAAGATTTCAGACGAAATCCTCTACCTATGGGCAACCCAATGAGTCAACCATTTGGAGATACAGGTCTTGTTGGAGATCCCTTCTCACGGTTCCCGCTACAGGGTTTAAACCCTCCAAATTCATTTGCTCAGGGAAACATACCCCTTCCACCTGTGTCTTCTCTGAGGGATTCAGCAAGAAGGAGAATGCAGTCTTTCTCGGGTGATGACCTGCCTCCAGTTGAGACGACCTGCCTTCAGTTGAATTTTCTACCTCGTCTTCTTACTTGCAGCAGCAAAGGCCACTCTATGGTCTGCAGCGGTCTGCAGCTGATGGAATTTCTGTAAATCAGGGTGAATTTGGGAATGTTAATTTTACCATGTCAAGATATACATCGGATATTCTTGACAGGAACCAGCCATCTTATCTTTCTGATTTTGGAGGGTCAAGAATTTCAAACTACTACAATCCTTATGCATCCACTTTTGATCAGCCACTAAGTTCGAAATTCAGCTCTAATGTTTTTAAGCAAGAAAAGGATTTGCCCTACAGTAATCTACACGATGCTTCTTTGAGTTTGAGCCATGTTCCAGTTGATGGACAAGGTATTGGAAGTCTTGGCTCAAGGCATATGACTTCCTTGCCAAAATCTGCCCAGGCTGCTGATTTACCTAGGCCAGGCAGTGACCAGTATGATCCACTTTTTGACAGCATTGAGCCATCTTCAAACTCATTCAATAAATTTGATCATGGTCAGAGGCGTGAAACCACATTGAGACTCAGTGGTTCTCATAAGCCATTAGATGTGGAAGAAAACAACAAGCAGAAAGAAGTTGAAGCTGTTGCTGTATCCACGTCTATAAAAAGTGAAAATGATGAATATGGTGAGACGGCTGATGCAGAAGTGGGTGATGTGGATAATGCGAGTGCAAGCAGCCCGCTTGATGAAGCAAATACAACTGGGGGAGAGATTGAGATTGATCAGGTTAAGATGCCAGGGAAGAGCAAGAAGAGTAAAGATTCAAGATCAATGAAACTTTTCAAAGTAGCCCTTGCAGATTTTGTGAAGGAGGTGCTAAAACCATCCTGGCGACAGGGTAATATGAGCAAGGAAGCATTTAAGACAATTGTCAAGAAGACTGTTGACAAGGTGTCTGGAGCTATGAAGAGCCACCATATACCCAAGTCTCAGGCAAAGATAAATCGATACATTGACTCATCTCAGCGGAAACTGACTAAACTTGTGACGGGCTATGTTCAGAAGTATGCTAAAGGATAAAAGTTTGCGCCTGCTGTGGTTTCAACCCATGACTCATTGCATGATGCAAACCTTTATGCATCTGTGTCTACCTTATACACTGAATGCATACAATTATGTCCTTGTTCTCAGAGTAAAGAGAAGTTTTTGTTACGAAAGATAATAAAAAAATTCATCTTTCAGAACTAGGGTGTTCTTAAGTACCATAACTACTCGCATGAAATTGACATGATACCGGGGAAGTCTGCTTATTTTGAATTTCTGATTTACAAATTATCTGTGTCAAGTTTTTAATTTGAAAGATTCTCCAAACTTGTATGTTTATTTTTGGTGCTTGTTGGTAGCATGGTTTGTTGTAGATGAAGATGCTATGGTCTCTACAACCAGAAATAATCTAGTAGGTCAAGAAGACCATGTGTTCATGTGCCCGACCAATGAAATGCTATGGTTTGTCCACCATCTCCTTGTTATTAGGGCCATGCATTCATTTAGCCCCTTGCTATTGGTTGGGCACACTGCCAACGTGGAATTCCTGGAAGATAGGATAATTACTTCTCTACAACAAGGTCTTTATTGGGCTTTTAGTTCTTGCATTAATGTTTTCCAAATGGAAGTAAAACTTCTATGCGAACAAGCTAATTGTGGAGCCATGCTTGTTCAATTAAAGTGGGTTTAAGTGCAAAATAGGCTATTTTAGCCAAAAAAGCCACAACAAATTGTCACATCAGTCTCTCTACTTTTTTGCATGTCTTTTTGTAAAAAGCCAAAAAGCCACCACTTAAACAGCCAATTCCCAAACGAAAAAAAGAAGGAAAAAAGGTATGCACTTTTTCTTGTGATTGGTTGGTTTTGTTTTATTTTTGGAATTGGCTCAAGAAATCTAAAAGTTTTTACTTAAATAAGAGTTTCTGAAGTGCTTCATGAACTTGTGACTTGCTTGTTACATGATGCTTGAATAAGATCATATTTTTTCCTTGTAGCAACATCTCATGACATTATTCATTATTCTGCAGGGCTATGTTCAGAAGTATGCTAAAGGATAAAAGTTTGCGCCTGCTGTGGTTTCAACCCATGATGGAAGAAAATTTTGATTCAACCTGTAAGTCTATCTCTCGCTAGCACTTGCTAATATATATCTCAGCGTGTTGAAAATCATTTTAAGACGCCTGTTTGAGGCAAGGTGCTAGAAAATTACTTGGAGGATTAGAAATTAAGGCGTAGACTTTCTCGGCCTAAGTGACTGCTTAGGCACAAAGTGGGTGAGGCAGAGGAGTATTTCATTTTTTCCCCTTCCAGTTTTAATGATTTGCGTTAACAAACCACAATTAAAGGTTTGTCCGGTCTCCTAAAATTTGAAGACCCATTTTGAGCTGGAGAGGTTGTTAGACAGGAAAGACTGCTTTTATTTCTGGTGACTTCATTGGTTCCTTCGAGAGAAAACTCTCTTCTGGCATTTTTCCAGCTAATTTATACACTCCTGTTGTCATGATGCTGTTCTGCCCCATTCAAGGTTCTTTTCATTCACTATTTTCTTGCGTTGGCTCGTCTTGCATGCATGTTATTGTTATATATCAAATTGGCTGTGTTTGATCACTTATGTAATTATGTTATGATCAACAATTTTAGTAGGTCAATGCCCCTGAAATGTTTCCATAAATATATTTACTATCAGATATTCACATGATTTCTGTCTTTGATTTACATGTGGATTAATTTTTCACTAATGTTAGTGATTGATGTGTATTTTGATTTTAAAAATTTAAATAAATTTACGAAACTTAAAAAGTTTACATCTCAACGCTCTAAGGTTGTGTCACAAGACGAAAATACCTCATATTATGTTTTTACCTTTTAAAAATTTGTTTTGTATAAATATATGTATTTATACCTGTCTGTCACTATTTTCATTTAGGTTCATAGCTGTTGTAGATTATAGCTTTACACAACTTATTTTTGCTGGCAGACTATGGAAAAGAGAATCTGCAGTTGGTCTTGTGAGGTAATGTGAGGATGTGCTGTGATGTGTAAAGTTAGTAGCTGGTAGTACACTCATAATGTCATGGCACATTAGAAGATGAACTTAATGACAGGAGGATTGATTCCAACCTCAGCAAAAGGTCTGAGGAAGCTCCAAAACTTGTATGTAATGTGTTTTTTGAATTCGATCGATATATAAATATATATATATATATTGTTTAACTGATGGTTCTGTCTATTTAGTAGGACAGCATGTTTATAAAGTCTCCCAGCTTTACAATTGTTTCTTGGCTACATATAGGATTCGTTTTCATTATAGTCAGTAGTAACAAAATTCTTGACTTTGGATAGCCTGTTGAAAAATTGGATTGGAAATGGAATGAAAAATTCTTTTTCTTCACAGCAATGTCTTTTTTGTTTTTTTCTTCGTCTTTATGATCAAGTGCTGATCTCTCCTATGTTGTTATGATGCTCATTTTTGGGACATTGTTTATTGAACATATGTACTAAGGAAATGGAAAAGAAATTATAACAAGACATCAAAACAAAATTTTAGGTTTTGTATTTTGGAAGCCTTATGTATATAATTTTAAATGATCTTAACACCCCCTCTTAAATTAGAACTAATTAGTCATATTTCTCTTTGTTGCAGAAAGAGAAGACATTGTGGTATTCTATAGATGCAGTCTGTATGTAGTACATGGGGTGATTAGAGGGAATTTGGGCATATTATGATTTTGTGTTGATATAAAAGCTTTGATTTAGTTAATTTTCACGCTATGGAACTTACTAAAACACTGTGGCTCCAATTTATTTGAGTTTTGCATGAATCCTGCAGAAGGAAAAAAGATGTTGCTTCCTTGAATGTGCCCGTGTCCCCTGTGCCCGTGCTTGAATGTTCTGGTTTTTTTAACAGATACACTTATCCAAGTTTATATATTTTTTTTTTACCCCAAACCTGAAGTACCTAAAATTATTTAGAGCAGCAAGGCGTGATTTTGGGCTTTTTTTTTTCCCCTTAAAGAAAAATAAACTGTTTTTTTACATTTTTTGTAAGATGATAAAATCTTGTTATTTCTTTATATCTGATCTGTTCATAATGTGCCTCATTTCTTTCATTTTCTGCACATGTTTAAGGAAACACTTTTGTCTATAGTAAAATGGCAAATTATTTTGGATGGTGTCAATATATGAGTTTGGTGATTTGTTTGAGAACTTTCAGTGAAAAGAGACACTTTTCTCATGATTTTGTTGAACAAGAAAATGACAATCTATGATTTATTTCTCAAGGATATGATTAATTGGAGATAAATGTACAATTTAGTAAGGAAAGCATTTTAGCTAGTAAGGAAGGTATAGTAATTTGACATATCAGTTTTTCATGCTACTTTTAATTTACTATTAACTTGTGAAATCATGTGAGATCTTTATGGGCTTGCCTTTTAGGGCAACAATCTTCTTTGTAAGAGGTAAAATTTGAGATGCTGTGTTGTTGATGAGTCCCACGTTTTGCTGGATTTTGAGAATTCAATTGCAGGCCGTATACATTCAATATTTTGCTGCAGAGGTAACTGGATTTCGTCTTTTCATTCAGGATTAAGTTCATTAAATTTGTTGCTCTTGAGGATCACCTAGTTCTCTACTTTCATACTGTGTTTGGTTGAGGGATTTGAGGAAGGATTTGGAAAGGGAAATGGAAGAGGTAGGTAAAATGTGAATAAAACATACTTATATTTCATCTAGTTTCATACACATTTTCTCTTTTCCTTTCTAAATCTTCCAACCAAACACAGCGTCAGTGGTTGAACCCAGAGCAAGTTTTGTCCTAGTGATAAAAATTGATTACTTGATCAGTTTCGAGATCATATTGCTAGTTTTCGCAACTTAGTTGCTTCTTGTTATTGTTGTTGGTGGTGTTGGTATTTTTCCATAATACAATACATGAAAAATATATAAAATAAATTAAATAGAAATGATAAAATAATTTTTATTTTTTATTTTTGATTTTTGATTAGAGGATGAAATACAGAATAAATGACACAACTAAATATAGAAATAAATTAGATTGTATTACTAAAAGAATAAATTATTAATATGGATAATTAAATATTAGAATTCGTCGAGGTAAACTAAATTTTAAAAAATTAAAGAACAAATAATGATAAAAGAAACAAATCGAAGGTTGTGTGATACCACAGTTTCTTTAAAATAGATTCACCGCTTCTCGATGGGTGCAAGAGGTATGTCGGCATCTGTCTCTCAAGATATCACGGTCGAACCAATTAATGCAGAAGCACCTTCTGAATAGTTTTTGCAAAATTGACAATAACTACATTCTCTCTAACAAGAATCAAAGAAGAGGCTAATAAAAGAAGATAGAAATTTTTTTTCTTTGGTGTAAAAATCATCTCGAACTTTTTATTTCAAAACACCATCTCATTTTTCATCACAAAACCTCTTTAAAAAACAACCTACTAAGTGAGCTTTAGCCATGAAAGCTAACATCAATGGAGTCATCAAATGTCATCAACTTTGGTCATTAGGGTTAGAGTTACAAAGGTTCAAAACTCCAAAACCGTTATATAAATCATAATGTGTATATAATGTACAAGTTTTGAGAGTTAAACTATATGGATTGCAAAATGGATATGGGCGTTGAGTCACAATTCGATCTAAGTCCAATTTCAAATACATGCACAAACTAAGCCCAACACAGCTCAACCCAAATCTCAAGATTAGGTCCAAGTCCTAGTCTAAGACCAAACCTAGCATATGCACAAGTGCAAGTCTAGTCCCAATTCAAACCAAAACTAAGTCCAAATCTAAACCCAACTTTATTGATGTCTATTTTATGAGACAATTCTCATTTATAACTTAATAGTTTCGGCTTATTATTTTTGTATTGCAATCTTCTTACTTAAGAGAACACAAAACCACTTAGACCCCACCTCAACCAGTGGTTGGGTGCCACTTTAATTTCAAATTAAAGTTGTTGAAAACTCATTATTTTCCAACAATTCCCCACATGAATAAAATTGGCCGAATAAAGAAAAATGAGCAACACTTAACAACAAAGATTTTGAGAGAGAGCACACAGAATAACCATGTATCAGAAAAAGTAGTTGTTAGCCTTGAACCTTTCGTAGTGAAAACCTATTGAACTTATTGGCTGACCAGTGAATGTGATGTCTTGAACTATTCTGCCGTTTGTGTAAATCGAAACAATAGACTTCACATAGGAGTTACTCTAACTATTGTTCTTGTTCTCACTGGTGTGTCCAGTTTGGCCCTAGAACATTAGTCTGATTTAGTGAGTGTTTTAAAAGAATTCAGCCTTGTGAATTCTTAAAAAAGCGGTCCCACTTCGCATTCACATAGGTGACCTACATAAAGTATCTCGCTACACAACGGTTGACTATTCACAATACTTAGGTCATTAAAAGCATCAGCTTAACCTTCCATCCCACAAGGTATCACTGTATAAAGGAATGGGTATGAGGATTTACCTCTACAATGACTCGTCCGTTACACGTAATTAGGTTGTCCCTTTGAACTTAGATCTTGGGATTTCTAGTCAACTAGGTTGAATTTTTCATTTCGGTAACATTTACTAAAGACCTTAACCTCATTCCTTTTGATGACTTTCCTACTAACTCTCAATTTAACCATTTGATTAACAGATCCGTAATATCGTCCTTAAACTATATATAGTCTATAGTGACACCACACGAGAGTAGTTGTCGTATAGGATTATGTCTTCAACGAAATGTCTAGACCTTCTATCTGTGCCCTACCAATACTTGATTAGTTGTCGCAAAGTATACAAAATTTCTAGCACAAGTTTTGATCAACATGAAATATCATCAAGAAAACAATAAAGCCATTCAGTTACTTTAGTAACTTTATTTAATGCACTGAATTCCGATTCCATCATTGATCTCGTGATACACATTTGCTTGGAAGATCTCCATGACACAGTTGTAGCTCCAATTTAGAGAAAACATATCCACTAATGGATTCATAGTCTTTGTATTAGATATCCAAAAGGAGCCTTTGTACTTTTTTAGTATAACTGGATATCAAGTGTTATACAACCCATAATCCCGGGTGTAGTGCAAATACCTTAGTACCCACACAAACGCCTTCTAAAGATAGGCGCTGGGATTACTCGTGTATCTACTTAGGCCTCGTTTGGGAACAGGCTAATTTAGTAACTTTTTGGCTATTTGGTTAAAAAGGTAGGTAAAAAAAACTTGTATGTTTGGGATGACTTTTTGGCTAATTACGAAAAGATGTGCAAAAAGTAGAGAGAAAAGAGAATTTTTGACTTTTTGGTATGGGTTGTTGGCTTTTTGGCTAATTTAGTAACTTTTTGGCTAATTGGCTAAAATAGCCTCTTGCCAAACGAGGCCTTAGTCCGTTTACTGAGTAGGCTATACATGGCCTTGTACACCTCATCAAATACTTTAAACTTCTAATGACCCGAGAATATTCTAGTTGAAATACATTTTCACCATTATTCTCGGCCAAATGTAAACTCAAGTCTACTGGTGTCCTCGACACACTTGTATCTGATTTACTAAATTTCTCAAGTATCTTATCAACATAATGAGACTGAAAAAATACAATACTACCGGATGTTTTGGTAATCGCATCTATAAGGCCCATATCTTTCATGTCAAATTTAGAATTTAACAACTTCTTGGTAATTTTGAAAATCTTCTCATAATTACCAATCATACAGATACAAATTGACATAACCTCTGTTAGTATCTTTGACATATACACATTTGTCAATATCCACTTGACAACATAGTGTAGTCAAATTTCTCATGCCATTGTTTCAATGCTTATTTCAAATCATAAAATAATTCTCAAGCTTACAGTCTTTCCTTGTCTTGAAACTGACAAACCCTTTGGGTTGTTCTATAAAGATTTATTCAACTAAATCTTCATATAGGAAAACTATCTGAACATTCATCTTGATGTATCTTCAGACTTCATACAATTGCGATCACACTCACTAAAACTGATGATCAGGTATCAAAGTAATCTAGGCCTTCTCTTCGCCGGTATCCTTTGATAACAAGCCGATCTCATCGGCTTTCATTCACTTGCATTCCAAAACTTACAACTTATGCAAGATAAAGCTAAATTAATAACTTTTTATTTATTTATTTTTATTTTTATAGAGAAATCACAGCTTCAAATAAGCTTTTAGCCTCACTAGCTTCCATATAAGTTTAAAAATATTAGACAGAATAATTTTAAAGTCCTACCCTTTTAATATCTTCTAGGCTAAACTTTTTCCTCATGAAAATCGTTTCCTCAATTCCATGATGGTATTCTTGCGTAAATTTGAATATCAAATTTGTCCACAAGAAAACCGATATGCACTACTA